CGAGGGCTCGATATGCTCGCATCGATGTCCTCGCGGACACAGGTATTAGCACGCGCGCTCGAAGCTGGCCTGCTCTGCCCCGAGGCGGCGGCGGCAGTGCAGCTAGGCCGACTGCCTGGAGCGGTCCAGCACCTACCGCCAGCGCTCGCATCGGAAGTGTTGACCCTCTCCCAGCCCCGCTCCCCAGCCGCCCCGATCAACCCTCCATCCTCTCCATCCGGGTGGCGATGCAAGTCCAAATTGCCCGCCTCGCTGCACCCTTCAGTCGGGGCCTGGATCCAGTCCGCCAGATCGACATCGCTGCAAGCTGCGCGGACAAACTCGGCACGGCTCCTGAGGGCCATCTCACAGGTCTCCACATCTACAGGAGTGCTCTGCTGCTCACTGCCAGAGACTCGCTGCCAAAATGGCGCGCACGGGAGGTTTGCGACCGACCTCCTCTCGGCTACCAAAGCCGAGGGTCCAGGAGCAACAACGTCCCAGGAGCAGCTACACCTTGCGTCTGCGGGCTCCGCTGCACCCACTACACTAGCCGCTGCAACAGTACGTACCCCATCCCACCCCACCCGCATCCCACCGCCCCACACCTCCCCTATGCTCGCAGGCAAAGCCGCGGCCTCCCCCTCTTGGCGAAATTATGGAGGGTTCGGCGGGCTTGCCGCCCACGCGCAAGAGGCAGGAGCGCTCGCACAGGCAGAGCTGGAACAGTCAAACGACTTTCGCTGGGGCTCTCGGGGGGGCCTCCGCGCAGGCTGCGGTGTCCAAGACTACCCACTCGCCCCGCTCACGCGTCGACCCTCCGCCCCAAGACTCGCACCGAAAATCAGAATCTAAAGAGCGCGGCTCCGACAAGACATCCCGCTCGCCAGACTGCGCTTCGCACCGCGCGGCCGATGCGTCTCCCTGGCCCCCGCCCAAACGGCAAACAGGGGGGCAGAGAGCCAAGTATTTTACATAATCCGAACCCGAGGATCCCGAGACCGAAGAAGAAGCACTGGCCTGCACAGGCCATAACGTCAAAAGCCCAGGATCCGAATCCCCTGGAGAATACTGCCCGAGTTGCACAGCGCTGGAGCATCCGCCCCACTACCACCGCCTGGTCACACAGATAACGAAGGCCCTGATCGTGCTGAGGTACCCAAAGTGCTGGAGGTAGCCGAGGTTGGGCGCCCATCCCACCTGCCGAACTGCCTGCTCTCGTGGTCGCACTGGTACTTCAGGTGGCTCAGATAACAACCATCTTCACACCCGCTATCAGACTCACACGAATCGTAACCGTTACTCTCATCAGAAACGTAATCAGAAATCGCCCCCAGCACGTCCATACCCGTCGAGCTGGTGTCGGAGCTGCACTCGAATTCGATCACCTGCACGAGGTGGTCGCACCAGGTCACGCTGCGCCCGTCGAAGCTGCACTCGAGGCTGCACCCACTGCCGCCCCCGCCCCCGCCTCCATCCTGCCGTCGATCGCTGATGCCTGGGTGCGGCCCCTGCCCTCCTTCCTCGGCGGGGGGCGGATCACCCCGTCGCCCGCGGCGCGCGCCTCGTCGATCTTCCTGACCTCCCTCTGCACTGCATTGGCTGTCACACTCTGCGACGGCGGCGGCACGTGCGGGTCGGGGAGGCCCCCCGAGAGCAGACCCGCAACCATCTCCTGCGTCGTCGAGATCGGGCCCGGCTCCATCGGCACTGGCGTCTCCTCGGCTGTCGGTGGCATCTCCGACGGGGCCGCCGCCGCAGGCTGCGCGTCCGCTGGGGACGTCGGCGAGCACCCCACTGGCGCCGGCATGCCCCACACCGGTGTCCGCTGCGCTGGCGGCGGGGTGGAGTCCACATGGAACGGGCCCGCCTCCTTCGACGGCGCTCCCGTTGTCCTCGCGGTCGGTGTCCTCGGCGCAGGGCTCGCCGCGGCTGCTGCCCCTGCCGCTGCCGCCACAGCCTCGCGATCCTGCTGCTGCTGGAACTGCGAGTTCCTCATCGCCGTCTCTTCGGCCTGCCTCGCCATCGCCTCGGCCATCCCCATCGGCGGCGGCATGGGCGGGAACATGGGCGACGCCTCCGCCCTCGCAGCCGCCGCGGCTGCCGCCTCCGCTGCCCCAGGCCGCGGGGCCGCCGCCACGGGCGGCGCCGCTGCCATCCCAGGCGGCGGCCCTGGCGGCACCGCATTGGACTGATGAAACCCCATCGCCTGCATGACGAAGTTCATCTGCCTGTCCTGCTGCTCCATGCGCATGATCATCTGCCGCATCATCACCGTGACTGGGTCCGACGGCGCCACGCCCGTCGCCGCGCCATGCTGCGAGCCCGCCGTTGCACCCCCAGGCACTGCAGTGGGCCGCTGCTGCTGCGGCGACCGCCCACCACCACCCATGTGCACGTCCCGCACGTGGTCCTCGGCTTCCTCCTCTCGGCGCGCCTCCTCGAGCTCCACGATGTACTCCTGGAGCCGCCCCAGCTCGTCCAGGATCTCCGACGCCTGCTCCTCGAACATCTGCATCCG